GGGGCGCCCCGCCCCCGCGCGCGCCCGCGAGCGGCCGTTGCTGGGGCGCGCGCCCCTCCCCCAGCCCAACGGCTGCTCCCAACGGCTGCGCCCAACTGCCGCGCGGGGATTCGCGCGAAGCGGCGAGCGCGCTGCGGAGCGCCCCGGCTATTTTCCCCCTTGCGAACCAGCCCATCCGCGTTTTTTCTTTTTGTCTGAACCCCCAGCAAGCGATAACTAGTTTAAGTCCGGTCCGTCGGCTTGCCTGGTGACACATGCGTAAACGGCGTTAGTCATCTGCTCCACCCTCCACTTCCGAGGGGAAAATAAGTGTCCTCCCGCGTGGAAGGAGTTCAGGAAGGGAGGGTGAAGGGGAAGAAGGTACAGTCAGAAATAGAGCACGGTCTGTAGCARGACAGGAGGGAAAGAACAAAATGACTGGAGCTAAAGGTTCAAATGAGCAACGTGCTTGTGCTATTACACCAAAGGAAGCTCATGTAAGGAGAGGGACAAATGTTAACCTCTGGAAAATCTCACTCTGAAGAACTGAAYGTAAGGATAAAAGTACTGGATAAAGATGGTGGTTTTATGGATTAGTTCTACATTAAAAAATGACATGTACCTCTTTCTTGCATAAGCAGTAATTAACTTTTTGCATAAAAGACATCTATTTTTCTAGTTTGCAGAGTCCATCTCTTGCTCTCACCAGTCCTTTTTGAAAGGTGTCAAATACTACTTCCCTTTAGAAACTCAGCGTGTGATCTTATACTGTTAAATACGCTGTCAAACATTTTCTTCCTCATCACGACTGTATGATGGGGCTGCTGATGCAGACTAATTCTAGCAGGGTTTGGGCACTTTCTGAAGAAAGTGAGCGAGTGGCCTCCACCTTACAAAAGCCCTGAGCTTGGTCAGCTCCTCAGCAGCAGAACTATTCTCTTCCTGATGGGCACCAAGGCCAACGTGTCCAAAGTCCTGATCTGTTCAAAGAAATTAAAAAAAAAAATCCCAACCACCAATTTATTCTTTACAGTAACACTTTAGCATTATCCTCAAATACTTGGGAATATAGTTTTAGGACTCTGTCCAAAGGCACCTAGTATTGTGAGAACAAGATTAAAGTAGCAAAGTCAAGAAGTCAGCCAAAAGTGACATTACAGAAACAGGGGAAAATGATGTGTAACAATCTGTGGAGCAGGAATCAGAAGCTGAGGGGAAGAAAAAAAAAATCACAGCAAAAGTAGAGTTAAAAAATGTATAGGAAAGAGGATAACGCAACAGACAAGCTGAGAATGTAAATGGGAGGCGATAAACAGAGTTAGAGCTAGAATAAAGGCAGRTAAAAGGTAAACATTTTTTAAGGACAACAAGARACACTCAGCATAAAAAAGAATTCAGTGTTTGGTAAAAAGCCAGTCATGAAAAGTGATGGTATTTTTAGGGAGTCCAAAAAATGTAGCCCAAATGAGAATATTTTGGAAAGAAAGTGAAAAACATTTAGTGAGAGCAGAATGAACAGACATCAGTATTGAAACTGAAATCACTCCAGAAATGTGGTAAACTAGAAAAAGCCCAGTGTTCATTGTAGTCAGTAAAAATGAAAAGAGCAGCTGCAGTAAATGCTCCTTTAAGAACATGGAGACGCTGACAATAGGAAATGGTTTTGACTCTCATTTTACAGGTTAAGAAACACTATTGCTGCAATCTGCATGGAGAATGAAGCGAAGGACAAGAGATTGTACAGCATAAATAGGAAACATAGACTGCTTCCTATAACCGTTTATGGATAAGAAGCAGGAATTGCAGAGGGAAAGCTTGATTTTTGTTGAAAGGAGATGTCAGGAAAGAAAGAAAAAGAGAAGGTAAATTAATGATCTTAGCTTAGGGAAAAGTGCCAGAGGAAAACAGACAGTAAAAAGCAAGGTATRACAGGAACGCACAGGAGCGAGGCTTGTAAGGGAAGAAATAGCACTGAGGAAACATCCAAAAACCACTATTAATGCACACCTGCTAGTGACTGCTCCATCTCCATGTGCAGAAAGGAATAGCAAACTTTACTGATAACGACTATTAACTGCTACCTTGAAAGCAAAGCTGATAGAAATGAGAAGATGAAAAGAAAGATAAAAGGTGCTTGGCTACACTTTTCTGCCCTAGAGAAGAGTGAGGCTACGCTAAGGCAGATCAGAGCCTCAGTTCCCAAAAGTCCCTTGAAAGACATAAAGAAATCAGCTTTGTTTAAGAAAACAGGGGGGAAAAAAAAAGGCAGAAAGCAGATGTTCAAATCAGATAGCAATTATAATGGCTGTTGGCAAAAGGTCAGTTACTCAGGCTAGCACTGTACTGGAAACTTAATGTGAATGTTCTGACTGCAGTTTCACCTCTGAAAATCATTTTATTTGCATTTTGTGCTTGACAGCTGTTTTGTTAACAACATTCAATATCTTTAAAAGTCAAAATACATTGCAGGTTGTAGTAATATGCATCCAGAAACAAGACAGAGTGAATTTCATCCACTTAAGTGATGAAAAATTCATCATAAATGGAGCATTCTTTGGTTAAATAAGAGCAGCAGTTTGAACTAGCTGTACTTAAATACTGTGCATGCATTACTGAAAGTTAGAATTCAAATATAGGAACTTTGTCTTCCTTTTTTTCAGCAAATACACAGACATGTCTAAATGCATCTCTTATGGTGCGAAACTACAGTTCAAGTTTTAACTATTACATGTTGCACAACAAGGCTTTTTGGGGAAGCTACAGAAATAAATAGCTAAAATAAAGAATACATCAAAATAAAAATCAGCTAGTTCCAATCTGTTACAAATTCATAAAGGCCTACAAAGCCTTTCATAAAAGGTCTATTTGATCTAATAATTAAAGCACAACAAATAAATAGGATTTTGCTATTGACTTGAGCTAAAGCAAGATCAGACCCATTATAGTCTCGAGAAAATATGATCTTATTATGGATCTTAAAAATAATCTTTGGATTAAAAGCTTTAACAAGCATCACTTACTATGTGATGACCAGTATCACTTGCAACATTTGTCAGTTTAAAGAAAAAATGTAAGCATTATATAATTAACAGTGTAAAGTCCGATTAAACAAACCGGTGTCTATCTCCTCTCTCCTCCACCCCCCCCCTCCTTTTTTTTTTTTTCTGCAGAAAATTCCATTTAGACCCTGCAGGGTATATTTTTAATGGATTTTTACAGACTTTCAAGGCTTTCACGGAAACTATTCTTCCAGAGAAAAAAGCGTGGGATGAAAACAGGTATTTTAACATTTTTTTACAAAGCCCCCCCTGTCGCTTTCCMCGCCCCTGCTGTCTCATGTTCTGAGGTTCTGTCAGGAGTCTCAGAGGCTCGTCCGTAAAGCAAGAGCTTGTTTATAATACAGAAATTAATCTCCAATTAATCTAACCACTCAGGCAGAGAACAGGCAGCAAACAGTGTATTACAAATTCAGGACCTTTCTTAGTGCACCTCAAYTTCTTAAATGGTTAAAGCTCTACTAACTATTGTTAATACTGACCCTTACTACTTTAAGGCCAGACTGTTAATAAGTAATGGATACTACCTGGTAGGGCCCTATCATTGTTTCCAGGCTATCCAGATATGTGAGTTAAAATGACAGTTTAGCAAAAAGAACATTTCTAAAAATTTTATTCCCTTCTTCAGCTTGTTTAAACATTAAGCAGGTTTATGTGTGTGAGAGAAGAAGAATATGAACATTTCAGGTTTTTCTGCAAATAATAGTGAACTAGGACAACATGTGATTGAAATTGCACATAAATTTGTACTTCAGACCTGTGGAGATTCTTTTATTGGGTCTAGTATTCTACCTACTGCAAAAGTCCCATTAATATTAATGGAGACAGAATCAAATCCACAGTGGACAAACATCTCCATTGTAAAATAATAAGAATCCAAGAGGATTTCACTTACTAGTATTCTATAAAGTKACATAGGCTCTGTCACTTGTTGTTGTACTTTGTTGTAGGTTGTTTTGTTGTACTACAATTTTGGGGCCATACTCATATGGGAAAATGCTGACAAGAAAAAAAGGAACCACATTCAGGCCCGACACTTCCTGKTTTTTGTGGTTACCTCTACAGAAGATCAGCGCTGTTAGCAGGCTCACTGGAAGTCAGACAAGACAAAACATGCTTAGCAAGTGTCCAAGCCAACACTTCTCCACCACCAGTTATATTGCAGTTCTTAGAGAGTCCTGGAGTATTACCAGTAGCAATGCCAGGAGCCCGAGGTCTAAGTGACCCCTGATAGCTAAAGCAGCCTGTTGTCCYGGCAGAGGGTGCTCGCAAGAGCTCCCCTCTCCTCCCAGTGATGCGGGAAGACTTGTGCATTTCTGCTGGGCACTCAAAACCCATCTAGATTTGCCCTGTTTTGAATTCTAGAGGGAGGACAATTGTMTAATTTGCAGACTGGACAATGAATTATCCAGTTAAGCCGTGGGCTCTTTTTTAACTGGGATACCCTGAGAAGCTACAGAATAATTTTAATGCTTAGAGAAAGAGTCAAAGACTAATAAAAGACCTCTGAAGTATCTTAATATTATAGTGAAAAGTGCTAGTACATAATGGGTAGCAATGAAATTTGCACTGTCTGCACTAAGAAAGCGAGTTTTAGATGGACTGAACTATCTAGGCTTCTTTATAAAAAAAAATCAGGAGGATCTCTTTAAACTTAGTGAGAAAACAGATTTAAGAGACTAGCTGCACCCTTTAAAATGAGTTAGTGATGCTTTRCAAAAGTCAATTGCACAAAGTTAAAGTTGAGTTAAAAATAAAATATATTAGTTAAAAACAAAACAGTAGCTGAAGATAGGAAGTAAAAAACTTGGGACTGTAGACTGTGAAAACTACCTTTCCTGTCTCATAATCTACAGTAGGCTAGTTGAGCGCATTTATTTATTTGTTTATTCCAGTAATGTTTGTGCTTGTATTGGGATAATCCTTGTGGGGCTGCTTTGTTGTTTGGACCTTACCAGTTTAACCAGCTTTGCGTCAGCAGGAGACAGGCTGTACCAGAGTCGTGCCGGTCGGGYGGCTTGCAGATTTTTCTACTAAGGCTGTGATGGGAAGTGGTTATTGTACCACCAGCCTCTCTATTCAATTCTCTAATTAAATATCCAATTAGATGGTTAGGGAAAAGTACATGTAGGAAATAAGGACACCTTTATTAAAATATTTTAACTTAGATATCTGAACTGGTAGCTATTGGAATTAGCTTAGAATGCCTACAAAACACAAGAGAGCAAGCATCAATAATATTTCCACAATATACAGAATGTTTTGAATAGGCAATTCACTTTTCTGTAAATCAGAACATTATATTTAGCACATGCTACAATTTCCATGTGGGTGTGCAGCAATAAAAGTCAAAACAAACAGACACAAAACATTTTTAAGTGATGTTCAAGATGCTTGAACATGACATATTTGTATTTGCAGGTTAGGGTTACTATTCACCTCTTCTTCGTAATTTCGAAGTCTACACTGGTTTATTTTCACACTGTCCCATGTAAGACAGAGATAGTTTGAATACTTTCCAAAAAAAATCACTGTAAAGCAAACATCCAGCATGAAAGTGTTTGGAAACTCCGAAGACCTGTGTTTCAAAGCCTATTCAATCATGCTTTACTTGGAATTGCTTTTAAATACTCTTCCACTGTAATGGTAGAAACTTCTCCATACCAGTTTTGAAGCCAAATGTGCTCAATGTTCATTTTCAAGAAGAACCACTCATAGTTACGAGGCCACTTTCTTATCACTGGGTGCCTGGAAAGACCAAAAAGAAATAAGAGGCAAGGCAAAGCTATGGCAAAGCATTTGCATAGTCCACTGTTTTCCTACAGCCTAGTGTGCTCAGCCAGACTGAAACCTGAGATGTGACCATCACCACCACCACCCATCTTTTTTTTTTTTTTTTTTTTTTTTTTGTAATAGTTTATAACGCTCCAAACCTTAATATGGCAAGAAATACAACTAAGGCAGCTGAAGACCACCACCCTAGTCCCTTTTAGATGGGTCACATGCAGCCACCAAAGGCTCATGTTGTTTGGTCTATAAGTAAGTAAAAACCAGTAAGAGCAAGATTCTAAGTGTGCTCATGTATTCTCCAGTGTAGCTCCTTTGCAAGTGTGAAGAACTGCAGCTCACGGGACAAATTGTTCTTTTTCAGCCTGCAAGGAGCTTCCAGAAGATGGGAAGAAGCAGATGGCCCATGACCTTGTTGTACTTGACATAGACCGTTAGGCTCAGAGGCCGTTACAGAGGACAACAGTGAGGCTCCATTGCACAGAAAGGTGTGAGCCAGAGAGCAGCAAAAGTCTTCACTGTGTCTTAATAGGCCCCGTCTTATAAGTCCTAGCTGGTCCTAAAGTGGGGGAGAAATTTGGTGTCACATCAAACAAATAAGCCTTGTAATTGGGAATCTCTCCTCAAAGCCATGGGAAGTGCTTGCCTAATCCACAGATTATAAATGACATGCACAAYTGGAATCTAATATTTTACTAATTGTATTTACACATATCATTACCCCAAAAAGTTAAAAGGACACTCTAAAGCTCTGCATGTCATTGTAGGAAACACGGGAGTCAAACTGTCCTTGTGGCTGCCAAATAAAGGCCAGATTCATTACTTCATTCACATTTTCAGTACTAAATAACTATGTCTCTATAATTGTTTCAAAACAGCAGGTTGTATTATACTACCCCCATATTACATACATACCGAGAAAACATTGCTTGCTTGGCAAACTCCACTTCCTCCGGAGCCACGGTGACCATCTGTCCTGTGAGAGTCAGCCTGGTGCACCTCGGATCCTCGGGATCAACTACATTTTTTCTGTGCACAGAGAAAAACGCTTGTTTATCATAACTTGCATTTTATTGCCATGAGTTTTTGAGAAATACGAATGTGAACTGATTCTCATACCTATGTAGCTGCAATATTTTGTCACACTTTCAGTTTTTTCTATGGTCAACAACAGCATTCGGTGGGACTACAGAAGGAATACTCACCTAAAGAAGATGTCTATAGTAGAGGTTTGATTTTCATTTATCTTCTTTAAAACTGTAGTCAGGTTTCTGAAGAGYGTTAGTGAAATGGTAAGTTTGGACCTAAACCTAAAAAATAAGTGTGCACATGTACATTTGTGGGTATAAAATACAAGGTCTTTTCCTAGTGCCAGACTCAGTCCCTGTTTACTTGCTGATTGCTTTGTATTAGACTCTTTCTGCAAACAGAAGAGATGCATGAAATCATTTTTGAGAGACCCTTGAAATATCTCCATCCTTCAAGCCAGCAATGGAAAGGTATTAGCTWATTTTTTGATCTTTCCGTATAATAGTGTTTAAATAACTCCCGTAAATATATGGGGCAGCTGCTGAGTGACATTCATTACACATAACTTGATCAAGAGCAAAAAAAGAGTCRCAGGGAATCACCACAAAAGCCTGAGCCGCCTCCACGCCTCCCACAGCACTGTGTCCCACATAAGAACAGAAGCTCCAGGAATCACATTGGGAAACGAAGATTGTGTTTCTTGTTCTCTCTGCTTTAGTCTGAAGCACCAAAGCACAGCAAATTAAATCTAACCTGTGTGCAATTTTATTTAAAGATCTTAGTTTTAACCCTTTAGCCTTCACTGTATGTGCAATCCGCAGTGCCTTTTTTCCCTTGTAATTCTCRGTGCACGTCTGTGGCGTGCGGGAAACACATGGGCACTCTCCTGCAGCTAGTTTAACACCTGCAGATTCCCCGCAGATGGCTATAAGGGCTTGTGTAACTTACTGGATAAAGAGCCTGCTTTTATACATAGGAGCACGAGCAGATATATGCCAGAAAATGCAACGGGCTGATACTCATCTATGGCCGATCAGCACTTGGCACAGTTTGCAGCCTGCCTCAAAAGAGCCATTTGCACTCACATTTTCTGAGCATCCCCATCGGTTTGGAGCAGCAGTTCTCTGAAACTGTTCAGCTTGATGTCTGGGCAAACTCCACTCCTACTTTTTCCTCTACCTCAATTTCTGCATGGAAAGAAGGACAGCAGCCAAGGATCCATCATAAGCTTTCTCATCATATTAATAAATAATGCTCCAGATTATTTTTCCAGTACATTTTTGAAACATGAACTAATATGTAGTGGTCTAAATACCTGCAAATCTGCATTCCATGTCCCAGCTCTGGATTTAATTCTATCCACGTATATTCAGAGTACGAACTTGTCTTTTTAGGCACCTTGGCCCACTGTAGACTCTCTACATRAACTGATCTAAGAGGTGGAATAGGCTGGCATAGGGATAGGCTGTCTTGCTRGAAAGCACTTTAAAGGGTAATCAGCCCACCTGCAAGGCGGATGAATACAGGGCACACAGCTAAAGAAAGGGATAAGGAAGAGGAACAAAGYCCACTTCCAGAATGGGAGATCAGGGCTGGAATGTCCAGCATCTGGGGCAGTGTAAATTCACCCTCCTGGACACTATTGGCCCTGTAAAGAAAAGTCATGAAGACCTTCTGAAGGGACTTCCTGATCACAGAATCACAGAATATTCAAGGTTGGAAGGGACCTCTACAGATCATCTAGTCCAACCTTCCTGCTCAAGCAGGCACACCTAGAGCATGTGGCACAGGGCGGCATCCAGGCGGGTTTTGAAGACCTCCAGAGAAGGAGACTCCACAACCCCCCTGGGCAGCCTGTTCCACTGCTCTGTCAACCTAACAGTTCCTAACATAAGTTAGGAACTTATGTTATGTCCACCCTAACATAAGTTCCTCCTCACCTGGAGACGGAACTTCCTGTGCTCCAGCTTGTGGCCATTACCCCTCGTCCTATCGCTGGCCACCAGTGAAAACAGCCTGTGCCCTTCCTCCCTGCATTCTCCCTTCCTGAACTTATACACATTAATCAGATCCCCTCTCAGTCTTCTCTTCTCCAGAGAAAACAGGCCCAGCTCACTCAGCCTCTCCTCGTACGAGAGATGTCCCAGTCCCTTAATCATCTTAGTTGCTCTCTGTTGGACCCTCTCGAGAAGCTCCACGTCCCTTGTATACTGGGGAGCCCAGAACTGCACCCAATACTCCAGGTGAGGCCTCACCAGAGCTGAGTAGATCTACTGTTACATTTTGTACTTAATCTTTGTTCCGTAGTAACACAACTCATACATATATATATATATATATATATATATCTAACTTGGTAATTCTTAAAAATAAGTGAAAGGCATCTCTCACAAACAAAATTTCACTCTAGAAATTTAATTTAAACTATTAAGCATCCTTTGTAATGGAGCCTAACAGTATTGAGAAACAACAGAACAATTGCAAAAAATGGGAATAGCTGCAAGCACTTTTGTTCGGTACAGTTCCCAGGTTAGATGTTAACTATTTTCAGATAGGAGTTATAAAAGAATTGTTAGTGAGGGATGTTTATAGCACACAGAATGGATCAAGATAACAAATGTGGGTGTAATGATGAACACTGAGAGACTTTGGTTTGATACCTTCTCAAATTGCAAATTTGCCAGTTATTTAACGTTTCTCTGTAATCATTTATTCTAAAAGTGCACACTCTTCCAGGTTTGGAGCAGGCACCAGACATGATGTTGCTTTCGTTAGGCAGCAGGAATCATTAATCCCACCTTTCTTACTGAAATCACTGAGAAGTTTTTGACCTTTGCCTAGGGCTGGGAGTGCCAGGTAAGACTTTGACTTTTCACTGATTTACAGGAAAAGCWGCTCTCTGCACATTTAGCTGACAACAGAACCCAAATACTGTACACCTTTATCTGAAATGTTTTCATCTCTGTTTTTTCCTGACTTCTTTTATTCTCAGCTTGCCCTATGCTCATTCCTCCAGACTTTGCATTGACTGACACACAAAAGTAAAACACAAGCATTCCTAGTAAGAGTTATTTAAACTGAATGTTGCGCATTGGAATAATATTCTGGAGGGCTCGAAGTTTGCCTCTCAGGGAAACAAGGCAAACACATCATTTGTTGTGATTACATTTGACAAAGTTTTTGGAAGAGCTGAATAAGGACAATGATACATTTGAATTTAGTATGCCAGGTTATTACTTGCTTTGCTTTGAGTGCTGCCTCTTATAATTTCAGAATTTTCCATTTCAGACTATCAACCTTGTACTCTAGTCTTACACTGACACTACTTTTTTCTTTATCAAATGATTTGTTCATTACTTTTTTCTTTATCAAATGATTTGTTCGTGTTCTGAAGGACATCTGGCTCTTCATCACTTTTGGCAAAGCATTTCTCTAATAACTTGTAATTATTTTTATACTTTCCAAACCATTAAAAATCATGGAAATCACAGCTCCCACCTCTGGCTCTGTTGTGAATTTTCAGTGGTGTTACTCGTTTAATGGTGTAAGTTCAGGCTTTGTTTCTTAGGAATAAAGGAACATAGCCAGTAATATATCTCCTATTTTCTCCCAAAGGTGAACAATAGATACGAAGGATAAACGTGCAGAGGCCTAGTCACACATTCACCAGTTCTTTCTTGCTTTCTGTATTAATAAATGCATACTCAGTGCTCAGTCCTTGGGGCCCTTTTATCTTTGCTGGCACAAGAGCAAGGAGACACGCAGAAGTGGTTTTATGTAACATCTGTGCACTACTGACAGTGGGGACTGCGAGAAGCAGAGTTCCTGGGAAGAGCCAGCATTGCTGATTATCCAGCCTATGGATCTGGGAAGCCATAAGGCTTTTGTATGCCCTGTATTTATCAGAGCTGAGGAGCAGGTCCATGGTGTCATTCGAAAGGATTTCATGAAGGTTATGATAAAACAGAAACTTTGGGGGGAATAGAAAGCAGGAAACTGTGGAAGGAGACAAATCAATAGAGAGCACATTTCCTTATTTATGCTTATGTAAAATATATCCACCTTGTGGAAGAAACCAAAGGAAGCCAGATTAAAATGGAAGACCATTCAGTTTATGCACTTTGTAAGTATGCATAAAAGTGCATTAAGAGAAATTATCTTAATTATTCATCTGATGTGAGGACAGGGAAGAATTGTTTGTCTCGCTGCTCTGCTCACAGCGAGCAAACGTGGCAGTGTTTGCCCCGTTGCCCATTCTGAGTAGATGAGATCAGAGAGCGAGCGGGGTTCAGCTGCACCAAACTGCCCTGGGGAAGCAGGCACTGGTGGAAGTCTCGGCTCCTCTGGGCTCAGGGAGAAGCCTGTGTGCAAGTTATATGTGTTTCCCAACAGTTACACAATGCACTGAAGCACGTTGCTGCTGAGCACCCGCTCCCCATTCCACTGTCAGCTGCTTCCGCCCGTTCTGGGTCATGGTTCAAAGGCGTCCAGAGCAAAGAGTKCCACCTACTCACCAAAATATTTACTGAGTGGATTCTCAAAGGGAAACTGGCCACGGCCAGATCCTGTGACACCACGGCACAGGCTGATAGGGCAGTTCCGGCACCCAAGGTGACGATGCTGTTATTTAGGATTCTCTTTCCTAGTTGATATGCCTGCTTTGATGGAGGCTCTCCTTCCTGCTTTCTGACCCAGAGGATTTCTAGAGTGTCGTTTCCATTCTCAGCAGTCTGCTAGCAAGGCAGCAGTGCAGTGAAGGCAAAGGAGGGGGTATTTGGGAAGGAGAGTCAAGTGTTTCCAARAAGGAATCAGTAGGAAGAAGGTGGGAGGGATCAGTAATGTTCCCTCAGGAACTGGGGAGCCAAGACAAAAGAGCATTTTCCTCTGGAGAGCAGTTCCCCCTCCTGCTATTGCAGGGCATGTGCCTGGCGTGTGGCATCGTGAGGGCAGTGCTGGATTTTGCTCCACACACACAAACTCATCTCCGCTTCAGGGGCAGC